AAAAAAAATAGGCGACACTAAAGTTTGTGGTTGAGCACGTCATGCCGTTTTTTTAAAAATATCTTAAAATTTTTGTGTTAATATTATAGAGGGTAAAAAATAAATGAAAACACTGAGCACGTGACATCGGTATTAAATAATAAAAAGATAATCTCACGGTCGTTAAAATGCGTCGAAGGCGTGGATAGTCCGGACGAACAGAAAACGGTTTTTTGTGGAGTCACAAGGATGACAGATGATCGTACTATTGTGGCGGGTATTCGACGCTGGCCATTTTTTGGACTTTAAACCACGACAATAACGCGTGGGTGTAACAGTCCGGTATATAGTGGAGCGGTGGCTGAGAAAGGGATGGCACGACGACGGAGTGTCATACGGGTGATAACACCGTGCTCCTATCAATTTATACAAATTTAATTTATGTTTTTCTGCCAAGATAGTGTCAGTCAACATTGAAGTACTATTATATTATTGTGATGACCTCGGGACCAACTGTTAACCGTATACTTATTACATTTTATTAATAACCTATTTAAATTTTACAATATTAGTTATCTATATTTTTGATATACTCATCGTGACATACTAAATTTTGTACAAAATCTTATACTGTTTGGCGTAGAAAAACAATATAATGATATATTATACACTTGGTTAAATTTTAATTTATTATCTGTATTTATTTTAATAAAATGAATATTTTTATACTATATTTTATTTTATTCGAGAATGAGTAAGTAATATTTTCCTGCGATAATGTATGAAAAATATTTATTAATGTAAAGTATATGTAAACAAGACAATTGATTAATTTTATTTATCGAATTTTAGATTTTATTAAAATAGTCTGAATTGTTCTATAAAAACTAAATTAATTCAATAATAAAAATTATTTTTCACGCTTAACTAACTCATATATAATCATTATTAAAAATGGTTTTATATTTTTGTTTTGGAATATTAGTTTTTCTTGTGTGTTTTATTCCCATACCTACGTTTTCAGCTGGGTCGTCAAACACTGAAATAAATAAGCCAGAAAAAATAACTGTAATTATTATTGTTTTATTCATTAATTATTATTATTCAGTATCTCGAGGTATCTTCTTTTATACACATAATAATCATTGAAAAATATCTAATAAATATTTAATATAATTTAAAAATATAAATGTTTGTAAAATATCATTAATATTTATAAATTACTATTTTCCGTAATTTATTGAGTTCGTGGAATGAAAATTTCGTTTTGGGAAACCTTCCAAATCTATAGTTATAGTCGTTAACAATTAAATGTAAAAATAAAATCAATGAGCTTGTGTTGAATATTGCATAGAAGATATTTGTTCTTCAATATAATTTTTAAATAAAATTTATTAATTTTACATATTCAATATGAATATAATAAGTATATAAAAATTGTATGTTAAATTTGTTCTATACTAATACTACTTATTTATATAAAGTTCATAAATCATTAGTAAAAAATAGATTAGTAAAACCTTAAATCTTAGTATACAAGTTAGTGTAGTAATGTAAGATATGATATAATTTAGTTCTCAATATCTAATAACTTTTAAAGTATTCAAATTAACAGCTTAGTTTTTTTTTTTTAGCACGAAGAATTTATAAAGTTTGTTTTTGATCCAGAACTTGAGGTGATATAGAGTTCATAGATATTAAGAAAAAAAATGTTTTAATTTTATTTCATATATTTATAATGAATTTATAGACAATCCAAGTGCACAATGCGAAGAAGTTTCTAAGACTTGTTAAGGGTGTTAACTTTATTTTATTAAAAGAGAACGTACATATTTAAATAGCTTATAAAATAGAATATTATAAAATTAAAAGAATAACTGTCTGATAATAAAATCAAACGAGTAGCGGAATTGATGCGCACATAATTACAAATTATTACTGTAAGCTGCAATTTATTCGAACAGTTCCCAAATATAAATTTATTTTAGAAATATCATCTAATAATTTTCTATAAAATATAAAATTTTATAGTTCAATTATTTCTTTCAAAATATACATTTATGAAAAATTTTATATTGTTTTTAATGACTATTTTTTAGCTTCGATGTAGCTATATCTCCATTAAAATTACAATATTATATTATTGAATACCACTTTCATACTAAATTTAACTACTGTAATTATTATGTATTCATATATTATAATTATAAATCGGGGTAAAATTAAGGGAATAAGTGTTATTGTTGTTTTTAA